GGACCATGTCAGGTCCTACGGCCAAAGGAAGTTCCATCCAAGAAAATCTAAGAAGCACCGGTCTATTTGTTGACGCCGCTTCCGTCTCCTCCTCCGGCACATGATGGAAGTCCAGCAAGCGCTGTAGCTCTTCGTGGGTCCACTGCTTCTCAGCCTTCTTCGCTCGCAAGGGCTCCTCCAAAACGATCCACGCGGAGGTTCTTGATGGAGCCATAGTCATCTCTACACAAAGAACCAAGCTATCGCAGGACTAACATCCGCCGGTTTGGAGGAGATTCTTCCAGCTGGTTGCTAGTCTGCCAACGGACCGCAGCTCTCAGAAGACTTGTGACAAAAGTTATATATCCCATCAGCTGCTTTACACCTACCGTAAGAACCCCAAGCAGTGTGTCCACACTGCTTGGGGAAAAAACTCTTCTGGCTGCTCTGTGTTGGCTCTCCCCATCTCTCCCTCCGTCCTTGAGCGCCTGTGCCATGGAATTTCCGGTGCTCGAGGCCGACGCCCGTCGCGTGGCGCCGCCCGTGGCGCCGGCCGCAGCGAGCTTTGGGGACGACTTCTCACCCAGCAGCGAGGCGCGAGCTGCTGGGGCGTAGTTGCTGAAGAGCACGAAGTGGATACAAGCGGCCAAGAGAAAAACACCCATCTCCACCTTGGCCGTAGCCAAGACCTCAATAATCATATGAAGAGTTTCGATCATAGTGCGAAATCAATGGTGAGTTCGGGAAGTCGTGAATAAGCCTCAGTCAAAAGCGGGCAAAAGGTCCAAAGTCAAGTGCAAATGATGCCAAGAAAGACTCAGAAGGCACCCATCACTTCACAGAGATGGGTAGTAGAAACACATACAGTGTGCGTGTATATGAATAATAGGGAGTATAGGGGGGTCCATTGGGTTAGACGGTATACTTTCTTCCAGGGGGTTGAACTCGGAGGTCTCCCTATCTAACTGCATACCCACATCAACTTCATGGTGGAAAGCATACCTCTCCGCGGTGAGTTCCGTTCGATTCGGGGCGTCCTCATGCGGCCGGTCACCCATCTCTGTGTCACTCCACAGAACTGTTTTTGATGGAGGAGTGACCCGCCCCAGAAATAAGCATAGTCTACCGTAGTATAGTCTGAGTCTACTATATATACCAATGTGGTTCGGGTCGGTGGGAGGTTCGTAGAGGTCGGAAGAAAAGAGCTCCCACAACCAAACTACCGCTCAATTACCGGTTGGCCCTCCATGATGGCCCTCACAAGCGAAAGTAGGTTGCACACAACACTCCAAAGCGCGAAAGCATGCAAAAGCTGGCAAGTCACCACTAGTGAGCTGTGGACTTTCCCAAGTCCCAAGTACAGTGATCGCGTGGGTTGATGGTCTGCACCAACTTGAGCCGAAAAGCCAGGGAGTTCGCCACCCATCACCGTAATTCACGAAAATCTGTGATGTGGAGTTTTGGGTTTCAGCCCTGAGTGTCCAAAAGAAGGAGACACGCTGCATCCTTGCTTTTCTATGTTAAGGATACATCAGGGATCCTCGGGATCCTCCGAAAACACCCTGCTTGCACTCCGGCACTGAGCTTCCCCACCGCGGCGGGCCAGGTAGGCCGCCAGGGGCGCCCGGAACGCGGTCGCCGCGGCAGCCAGGCACAGGAGCAGCAGTGCGAGCAACAGTGCACCGACCTGCGTCCGTGTCAAAAGCTCCCAAATTGTCCATCTCCCACATATCTGTCTGCCTTTGGACAGGCCCCACGCCTTGCAAATCCTGCAGCTGCCAGCATCGGCATCACTGTCCTGGGCCTCGCTGCTCTCGCCGGTGTCGCTGCCACCGTTGCTGTCGGCACGGAGCAAGGACTCATGGCTCTCATCCATTCAAAGGCGGGGCCGGGCCAGAAAGCAAAGAAAACGAGAACACAAAGGTAAGAAATGCCAAACCAACTTCTTGGCGACCCCCCAAAAGGAGTTGTATATATATATATATATACATATTGACAAACCTTATACAGACACGTATTTATGTTGCATATATGTCTATTGAAGCACGTCTGTACCCTCACAGTGAGTCCATTTTGTAGGGTGGTTGCTTGACGATCTTTGAGCTGATCAGGCTGTGTCGAGGGTGGTTCCCCCACCAGGACTGAGAGCGCATTGATAAACCTGACTCTGCGTCCAAGAGCTTGGACATCCAACACGTTGTCTTTGATGCTAAGATGCAGCTTACATCTGGATCACTCCATCCCATCTGCATGACACATCAGCAGAGATCAACAGCTGCAGGAACCAAACCAAATTCTTCTGATGCTGACAAAGCCCTGCAACATGGACTCAAGTGCAAAAAGAGAGCAACTCAAAACGCAAGATGCCGCAAGAATCGCAACTCGTCAGCTGACGGTTTTGGTGCTCGCAGCTGACCTCCTTCAGGTCACGTGAAAAAGCGGGCAGCGGCGAGATTATCAGACTCAGACTTGGCAGCGCTTATGCCTTCCTGGTAGAACCGCCAGCGCCCAGCAGCGCAAAGACGACGGTGACGAAGACGACCATCATCACAATGCTGGCGGTCTCACCGTGGAGTGTTCCAATGCCCAGGTCCCAGTACCAATGGATGCCAACACTTGGAGGCTCACCCGCCAGGGCTGGCAATGGCACGGCAGCAGCCGCAGCTGCAGCTGCCGCAGCTGCAGGGACTTGCACTTTGCTGGAGATGAATGCAGGCACCCAAGCGCAAAGGGCCAGCAGGCTCAGTAGGGCTATGCTCAAGAGTTGGGATCCTCCACGCGCCATCTTCCACAAAGCGTAGTCTGAGCTCTTGAAGAACTTGGGCCAAAGCAAAAGCACAAATGTCAGAAAAGACAGTACGTTGACCACTATGACGCATGCATTCCACTGCATTGAAGCCTCAAAACCTCACCTGCAAAGCCTTCATTGCATTCTTACAAAAAGGTCCATACTCCGCTTAATCCATCTTTATCCCACGATTTGTCAGTGTCCAAAAAGTTTGTCCACTGTATCTGAAGTTGGAAATTCAGAATGATCTCTTGCTCTTCGTTGAGGCTTATGCCGCAGCTGTGAACAAATGCTGGGTGTCAGCAGAGCCTGGGTCGGGTCTCGAGCGAGGTGCGCGGGTCTCGAACACGTGTCTTCTTTGCGAGGGGGTAGAATAGGTAGTAGCTACTAAGTAGGAAAACTAAGGCAAAATATACCTTGTAGCTTCTTGGGTGCCCGCTCCCCGCGGAGGGCAGGGGGAGCTTCCTTGAAGAAGCCTGAACCTGAATGACTTGGTTCCTAGATTTTTCGGGAAACCTGATCATGTCAGCATGCAGTACATTGGAGGTTGGACGCTCTTCATCTGCCAGAGTCTGCCACCCCTCAAGTTGACTTCAAAAAAACGTGCAGCTTATGCTTTCAGGCATGAAGGGGTTGGATTTCCCGGGGTGGAAAAAAGCTGGTGGCGTGTGACCTTCTGAGCAACCATGGCACTCTCAACTATGGACCTGGTGACCTTGCCTGAATTCTTGTACATGGAACACGATCGAGTTGTTTGGTTGATCGCGTGCCAGATCAATGACGACACCACCGCTGCGTTTTGTTGACGACCCCAGTGCACCACCGCTGAAGGGACCAAACGTTGCAGTGACGGTACTTTGATGTACTTTGTGTATGTATGTGTGTGGCTACTGTGCAGCTACTATGGAGATGCAAATGAAATGGAAATACAGTATATATATAATATAAGTAGCCTCTAAAACAAACATCCCCTTCATTGAAAACACCTCCATCATGTCCTTGGTTGCTTTGCGCACCTCCAATCCTAGCGATGCTCCGCCTTTGGCATCGAGGACTTGTGAAGCTTCACCTGGACGCAGCAAGTGCATGTGTGCTTTCTAAATGGAAAGTTGAAAGGCCGGTTGTGCTTTATTGTGCTTTTTCGTTGCGTCTTGGCAGTGTCGGCTGACCATTACACAAGTCCGGCCCCACAGTCGGTGACTTTTTGAGCTAACTCGGTGCGAGTGAGCTAGAAGAAAGCTGCAAATGACTCAGACTCAGTGGTACTCATGCCTTCCTGGTAGAACCGCCAGCGCCCAGCAGCGCAAAGGCGACGGTGACGAAGACGACCATCATCACAATGCTGGCGGTCTCACCGTGGAGTGTTCCAATGCCCAGGTCCCAGTACCAATGGATGCCAACGCTTGGAGGCTCACCCGCCAGGGCTGGCAATGGCACGGCAGCAGCTGCAGCTGCAGCTGCCGCAGCTGCAGGGACTTGCACTTTGCTGGAGATGAATGCAGGCACCCAGGCGCAAAGGGCCAGCAGGCTCAGTAGGGCTATGCTCAAGAGTTGGGATCCTCCACGCGCCATCTGTGCAACGGTCGGCCAGTTTCGGCCCTGAGTCGGCCGGTAGAAGAACTGATTGAACCAAATGTCAGGGGAGGTCTCAGTACCTAATGAGCAAGTAGTGCAAGTTCATCCATCCAATGTGGTGCGTTACAGTGTATGTGTGTGTGTGTGTGCGGTTCCAAGTGTGCTTGCGCGGGTGTGGTGTGGGTGTGTCTATATCAATATATCTGTGTTTGTGCACGTGCTGTCCACATGTTCAATCAGTACCGCAGGTTTGCTTCGGACTCTGGCGACTCTGTAGCACAAGGTGGGCCCACCTTGATATCACCCAGCTACTGGCAGTTGTCTCTAAACCCCATATGAACGCCAAACCCTTTCTGTGATGCAACCTGGGCTGTAGGTGATTTGTATATCTGTCTATCCTTGAGAGTCCGCCCATTCCAAAGGGAAGCAGCAAGCCGTCAAAAGCACCACTGCCCAATTGCTCGAAACATCGTCCAAAAGCACATCTGTCCACGCATGATACCAATCGCAACTGCTCGAAACTTAACGTCAACCCTTTTTTACGTTTCTACATGCGCCGCGCGCTGAGTGAGAAATCCTTGAGAATCCTTTCAGCTGACATAGATTTACATGAAAAAGCACCAGGCTGGCGGCCTTCCCATACAGCTCAAACACAGCCTCATGCCTTCCTGGTAGAACCGCCAGCGCCCAGCAGCGCAAAGACGACGGTGACGAAGACGACCATCATCACAATGCTGGCGGTCTCACCGTGGAGTGTTCCAATGCCCAGGTCCCAGTACCAATGGATGCCAACACTTGGAGGCTCACCCGCCAGGGCTGGCAATGGCACGGCAGCAGCTGCAGCTGCAGCTGCCGCAGCTGCAGGGACTTGCACTTTGCTGGAGATGAATGCAGGCACCCAGGCGCAAAGGGCCAGCAGGCTCAGTAGGGCTATGCTCAAGAGTTGGGATCCTCCACGCGCCATCTGTGCAACAAAATGGCCCAACAGCAGCAGTCAGCTTTCAACTGAATCAGCCAAAAGCGGCGGGTGCAGTGTAGTAGCCTCGCATGCAAGCACGTTACGTTGAACAAATCGCCCTCAAAGTCCCCTAAGTCCTGAACAAGCCCTTGTCTTCAGGTTGAGTCTACCAGATCGAAGTGGTTGTGACAAAGGGCAAATGTCAAAGAACATGTGGGTCGCAGGGCATTGAGAAATGTGGTTGTTAGCGACAGCTCGCTCAAAACACATCGGTGCATAGGAAAGGTCCGGCCAGCCCCGCTTAAATCACACATCTAACAGTTAACAAGCCATCTTGAAATCCGCCGCCGATGGCCTCATGGACCGCATCTTGAGCACCTCGAATTCGATCCGTCATTCGTCAACTTGATTGCAGCAAACTCCCTAAAATCATGCTGTACCATTTGCCTATGAGCACGCAATCTGATTCATAATGACAGTCCTGAGAGGAGAATTTCTGCACCCACATCAAATTCAGCACCAATACCAGGAAAGCAGGGATTTGACATCGTTTCTGGTCTTCCTTTTCTTGGTGCTCTCATTTCCATGTGCCAATCTTTTTCATCTCCGATATGTCCGAGCCTCATCCAGTCAGGAAGTTCACCATCACATTGATCCTTGACCTCGACTCAAAGCTATCCAGTGCCAAACCTCTCTGGTCGAGGTGTCTCCTACTTGAGGTCGAGGGTTGGTGATGAAAGCTAGCTGCATCTAATCACATGGCTTTAAAACTGCTGGGATGCGCGGCCTGATGCTATCAGAACGAATGCTATCAGAATCCCAAATCTGAACCAGCGGAGGGGGAGAGGTCTAGCAGTGGATAATTCACTGAGTGAGCGATTCCATCCCCCAGCCAACAACTTGCCAAAGCAAGAGTAACTCCAGCTAGCTGAGGCTAGCTTTCGTGAAAAGAGTCCACGCTGCTGCTGATGTTCATCTACTAACCGGACCATGACTAACCATTCAACCAGGTAGTTTTTGAGGGCGAGGTCTGTGAGGTGCCCCAACATACCCAGGCAAGCCCCCCGAAGAAGGTGCGTTACGCTTGAGGCTTCTGTATGCCGCCACGCCGGTCGCCGGACGCGGCATGGACGCGGAAGTTTTCGCGCTGCACTCCCCAATCGGCAGGCGCAACATCGGTCCCTCTCTTGGAGCAAAAGGCCTCGAACAAGCAGGAACCATGTCAATGTTCACTCCGCAATATCGGGAAACGTCACTGACATGGCACCGGAGGGGCATGGTGGGATATGGTGGGCATGACTCAATGACCATCTGAACCAAGACCAGATTCTTGTACCATTCGGCCACCGGTCCCATTCTGTGCCCCTTGCTGATGTGCCCATCCAAACAACACGTCCATCCATCCAACGGGTGGAAGCTCTGCAGCATGGAATCATCACAGTAATTGCTGAAAGCCAAACTAGTATTTTTGTTCAAGCACTGGAACCGCTTGAGGCTCAAAATGAAAGAGCCTCCACTCCAACCCGCTTCTGGCACTCCAACCCCCATCATTTCTACCTCTCACCCCTCCGGCCGAGTGGCTGCGCCCATCCGCTCGCCAGCGCAGCCGGGCCGCCGACAGCGCGCAAGGCAGTGCCTCAGCCTGCCCAGGTGACCAAAAGAAGAGCACCGGATCTGAGGTGCCTCGGCCACACCGCGGCCCACCGCGATCCGCTCCGGACCGCACGGGCGGCGGCATCGGATGGTACGTGGGAAGTAGGCAACCCGGTCTGTCAAAAAAAGGTGTTTCATGGCACGGAGCTGGCCACACGGTGTCGGAAAGATCTGGGTCTTCAGACCCCAAACTGGGTCGCCCGGACTCAGGGCCAAACGGCTCAGCTCTCCGCGAGCGGCCGGGTCCCAGGCCATGCACTTCACCGTGGATTGGTGCTTCAGCAGCGACTTCAAGGCCATGCGGCCCAAGTCCCAAATCCAGACGACGCCTGGGCACCCAGACAAAGGCTCGATCGAAAGCCTTTTGATCGCTACGCAAGAACCGTGGCTCCGCGGGGGGAAAAAGGTAGCATGGAGATAGGGCGGGGCAAAAGCAGTCCAGCAATCCATTACAGTAGATTCCATCATTCGGAGCACCATGCAGTTTGGAAAGGCAGTCCAAGAGTCTCCTTAGAGATCGGGTATGTTGTGAGATGGATTTCTCAAAGCACCTGACCGTTACGGTGGTTTCGGGATAAATGACACAATCCCCAAAAGAAACCAAAAGATCGTTATTATATAGACCATTATAGACCCCTTGGGGGTTGTGCCGATCCGCCAATCAATTCGTTTGAAGACCAAAAGCCTGTGCATGTTCTCCTCTTTCCTTTCAGATCGGTCAGAGACTACTGGGCATCACCAATAGCCAATGTCAGCCCGGTAAAAATTCTTCGGCCAACGATTCCCAAATCCGCCCGCTTCACTTGGAAAGGCTCTTCGTCCCGGCAAAGCCTTTAGGGCCAAAGAGCTTGGAAAGGATTCATGCTTCGTCGCCAGGTAGCGTTCGTCCGGGCTCCACTGAGCAGAAGTGATGCCCTGCCTAGTGAGTGCGCCATCGGCCAGCGAATCAGCCGACAACGTCCGCACCATCATGAAAAGGACCGATGGGGGTGGATGAGCTGATTCCAGTGAAGGTGGCACCAAAAACTTCAAGTACTTCTGTCAGCACTTCCCCTACTTGTCTTTTAGGCTCTACACTCTACCGGAATCCTGTGTCACACTGGACATGCCCACAAGAACCTCATCGAATCGCGAACTTCGCCTGGGAATGCCATCAGCATCCAAGATGTCTGGCCCCAGCCGTTCATCCAGACTTGGGAAGTCCTCACGAATCGCCGACTGGTTGATGTGCATGTCTTTCATTGTCTTTCCCCACAGCAAACTCCAATTCGCTACGAAACGACATCCACCACTGACCCGGTTCGCGCCGACTCTTTTCACGCCACTCGAGGAAAGATGTGAAAAAGAGAGCCACTGATTTGTTGCACTCATGCCTTTCTAGTAGAACCGCCAGCGCCCAGCAGCGCAAAGACGACGGTGACGAAGACGACCATCATGACAATGCTGGCAGTCTCACCGTGGAGTGTTCCAATGCCCAGGTCCCAGTACCAATGGATGCCAACACTTGGAGGCTCACCCGCCAGGGCTGGCAATGGCACGGCAGCAGCCGCAGCTGCAGCTGCCGCAGCTGCAGGGACTTGCACTTTGCTGGAGATGAATGCAGGCACCCAGGCGCAAAGGGCCAGCAGGCTCAGTAGGGCTATGCTCAAGAGTTGGGATCCTCCACGCGCCATGTTTTTGGCTGCTATGGCCTCAAACGATCGATCGTGCTGCAGCCTCCTGCGTTTGAACCGAAATGCAGGTGATCATACCCATGCAGCCCCTGCAGCCCGTGCAAAGCAGCCTTCAGCACACGCAAAAAGAGAAATTGAATATGACAATTGTATATAGTTTCAATTTGGGAAGACTAGCTCCTCAATCCCCGCCCAGAAAACCCCAGAGCCATGCCACAGCCCACAGTCCTGCAAGCGTCGGTAGCGGAGACCCCCCGGCTCGTTCATCTCAAAGTCTTCCTCCCAAAAGGAGACCTGCACGCAGTCCATCGCACACCACGAGTTGGTCAAGGTGCCCACCTCCCAGCCATATGGGTTGGTATTTCTAACGGGGAGATCAGGAGGTCCCAATTTTTGGTCCCCGTTCCTTCTTCCAGAGTTGCTTGTAGAAAGGCCTCTGCCAAGCCTATACGCAAGTGGCCACGCAAACCATGGCTGCCAACCTCGGCCTTGTCGCACTCGGACTTGGCCTTGAGGGGCTGGGCTGCACGAAAACAGACTACGGCACCGGGTCTGTCACGCCTTGGATTAGTTACAGGAACCCTGCCTTACACATGCGCAAATACCCCTGAAATGTCCTTCCTTGCCTGGGTGTGGAGCAAATAACGCCCTTTTGGGAATAATCGAGGGCTCAGTGCCAGGTAACTGGTTGTAGACTTGGGGGGCAACCTATAGTAAAAGGCCCTCTATGGTGTGGACGGGTAAGGGAGAGGGAGGGAAAGCACCACAACCTCCCACGCTCTTCTGTGCCTTGAGGCCACCAAGGCCGGCCCCCTCCGCCGTAGAAGAACGCGCTTGCGAACAAAAAAAGGGCAGACTGGTCGATCTTTAGGATGTTCGTCTGAGCTCATCTACATACATTTACCCCATCTGATCTTATAAATTTCTGTGCTATATCTTTCTTTGTGGTGCTGAGCTATGGCCCACAACCAGCCACAACTTCTTCGGCTGGCGAGCGGCGTGGGAGAAGTTGGCAATGACCCTCCTGCTGACAGCACTCAACCTCATTCAAGCAGTGAGGCGCAGCAGCAAGTTGCAACTGATGCATTTGGGCATCTGCTGCTACAATCCACTCTCCCTATCATACAGCAGAATGCACCATGTGTGACACCATCGTGTTTCTGTTGGTGTTTGCTGCAGGGAGGATCTTTCAACGTTGAAGCCCAGGCCCAGTCACCCAGTCAAGGCGAGCACTAAGAAGCCTCCGGAACTGAGAAAAAGAACGCGTTTCAGTGGAGAACATCGTGTCAAACCATTGCCAGGGTACAACTGCAGCTGCCCATCGATGCCACATCCCACCAGCAACTGCGTGGAAGATGACACGGAGACCGACCTCTCGCGAATCCGCGAATCCGCGACGCTCGGCGGACGGGCCGAGCCCAACACCGGTCGCCCCTCGAGGAAAGGGGAGAAACCGCCAGAAGGAGTTTTGGGAAGAAGTGCTCACACTACTGATGCTTTGGTTCCTAGGCTTTTAGGGACACTTAACTTAAGCTTAAGCCGTCAGAAGTTGCGACACTCGCGGTCAGGAGTAGCGGGACGCGGGATTCATGAGCACTGACCATGCCAGAAATCACAATGCCATCATCCAGGCACTACAAGTGAAGGCCCCAAGTTCAGCTTCGGATGGCAGGGTGCTACCTGCCCCTGCTGGCATGCTGTTGGTCTGGTCTTGAACGGCCCCCGACTGACATTCTGCTCAGACACCTTGGGAAACCATCACCGAGCTGCGCCAAGCATTCACCTGCCAATGAATACCTCGAGCTGCGCCAACAAAACGGAGTTGGACCGAAGATATCCGAGAGCCATTCATAGCCATTCAACATTTATGGTGAACATACCTCAGGCTGCTCGTAGTGAAAGTCCCCTCGGTTCTGGACCAGAGCATCCAGGGGCATGCTCAGAGTGTGCACTTTGAACACTTGAATGTACTTACGTACAAGCTGACTGTGCGTGAACGACAGAGAGGAAATGATTGAAATGATCCTGAGAAGATGGTGAGCAAAATGTCAGAACATAATGTTACTACTAGTCACAAGTGCCACGCTAGTAGTAACAAGTGCCTTACTAGCAGTAACAAGAAGCTACTAGGAACACAATGTTGAGAAAATGCACCTGATCCACATGAACAGCGGCGGCGAAACGAGCTACAAGTGTCGAAACGTCGAAACGTGTCAATGGAAGCCTAATTATATTATGTGTCGGAATAGCTGTGGCCTGCACTGAGCATGTGTCACATGCTTTCCCCATCACTTGATCGAGATTCTGAGTTCTTTTGTCCCAAAAACCACAGCTTCCTTGGGAAGCCCAAGACGTTCCGTCTCCTGTCCCGCCCAAGATGCAGCCGGCACCAAGGAGGTCGACCCGGAAGCTCGCACAGCACCAGCCTTGGACACACGGTCGAGGCTCCGGTCGAGCGAGCTCGAAGGCTCCAAAGGAGGTAGGAGAAGGCTCCTGGAAGATCCGCCCACGTTGGTCTGGGTTTTGGGGATGGTCTTTTTGGTGTGTCTGCCGAAATCATGAGCCTTCTCGGCATTTTTTGACACACAAGCGTCCACAAACTGCCAATCTCATGCGACGCCACCATGCTGAAGTTCTCTTGAAAAGATGGCCGCGACGCCACCATGGGGATCGGATGCGACGGAGGGACCCAAGAGAGAAAATGAACCAATCCAAAAAAAGGGGTCAGATTCCGATTAATATTGTTTTTGGGGATTTTCCCTAATTCGATCTACTTCAGGATGACAGTCAGGATGATTGTACCCCTTTCCACTCCGGTGCATCCGGAGTCGACGCCCTGGGCGAGCAACGTAGAGTCATCTGGTCCCCAATGCAGTTGCCCCGCATCGCCGGACAAGGTGACATCCTAAGGCGAGACGTGCTCGTCTGGGAGTTGTGAGGGGCGCCAGGCGCCTTTCGAGACGAAAGGCACAACCTATGGGGACTCCATAAGGAGGATAGACTTGCTGACTTTGGGAGGGCCCAACAACCCATAAGTTGAGCACACCGGACCTTGCAAGACCACATAGCCTTTTGCGAAGTGGTTTTAGGCGCACGAGATACGCATTCTTCTGAGAAGGTCCAAAGGCGGTGATCGAACTTGAGATGATGCAAAGGATGCTTTGTACTGGAGCATCCAACTTATTGGAGCGCTCTGGCGTGCTTTGTGGTAGATCTTCTGACGGGGCCACACCATAACCAGGCTACACCAGCAAACGAAACAGGCCCCCGTCTCGCTGCCAAGCATCTGTCAGGCACCCGAACTTGCCTTCCGCGTTGTACACGCTCAGTCGGTCCTAGCAAAGAGACATCTAGTGTATATTGTGTATCTTTATCTATTTATATATATATACATATACAGTATATATCCTGGCTAGGTATATATCCTGGCTAGGTGTTGGCAGTGATCAAAACATCAAACCCAGAGCTCGCTTCAGACTATGAAATGTCTTCCCGCCACTTCTGCTTGCAACCCTCTGGCATCCTCTGGCCACCCTGGACTTCGCCTGACCCTCGGGCCGCCGCAGCATCGCCAGCCAGCAGCCGTCGCGGCTCAAGGTGACCCCGGACGCTGCAAACTTCGGCCGCTCGATGCGCGCGACAGGGGCCTCAGAGCCGCTCGATCAAGCAAGCAGGGAAGGGAGAAAAGGCAGGGAAGGAAAATGACTTCTAACCTTCCCTAAATGTCCATCCCTGCCTTTTCCATCTCACCGAAGCAGTTTATTTCGTGAAGGATGGAAAATGACTCTTAACTTCCCCCACCGTGAGCACATTGGAGTGCATGCTGAGGTTGGAACACTGCTCCCCTCTTGCAGTTGCCAAATGGAGATGTAGAGCCTCGGCCAACCCCCTGCCGCGCCAGTGCACATAGAAAGAACCTGCGATCCAAAACCGAAGCTTAGTTCACTTTATGATCTTTGATGGCCACCCCTAATAAAAGCCTTTGGCTCAAGGCATCTTAAGACCGTCACTGTTCCACACCTCCAGTCACGGACCTCCGCTCCAAGCTGCTGAAACTCCACGCTGACCAGCACCGTGTCGGAATCGCCGAACCGCGCATGCGCCACGCCCGCGAGGCCCTCGTAGATGCGGCAGGTCCACTCGCTGTCCCTGCCACACAACGGCTGTGGCGCTGTGGCCCAGTGAAGAAAGTGGTTGTCTCAAATCCTGTCTTTCTCGACTTTCAGACGTAAGAAGTGCTTGCCCTGTGCGGTCGAACCTTGGGCAATGAACGATTTGTGGTGTGCAGAAAGCCCGGCACAGTGCGGGCAGTGCAGCGTGGGCATGCAATATAAGCTCCCCTTCGAAGTTTGGACAAGTCTCAGTTCAAAAACTCAGCCCTTACGCGGGTCTACAGAGGTATACAGTAACTCTATAGATAAATTTGATGAACCTCGGAATTGCAAAAAAAAAGAGTCCCTTAGAATCAAATTGGATTTCACTGGTGTTTATCCGGAAGCTGCTTTCAGGGGCCACACCTCTCCCAAACCAAAGCCAAACCTGGTCAACCCAAAGCCGGCGCGAACAAGAGCCAGCCTCAGACTCCAGATCTGGAGCAGTCCTGCAGTCAAGGTGGTCATACAGAACAAGATCTGTGATCCACTGATGGGAGAAGCACCTGCGCCCCTAAACAGTAGGAAGTAAGATCTGTGGCAAGGACTAATGAAGACGGACTGCGAATGCTGGCCGTGGTTCCATCACCTTTGGCCTCCTCTTCGCGGCCCCTGCCAGACCGTATCAGGTTCTTCCAGTTATAACATGTCTTGGAAAACACTGGAACTTCAGCGGTAAGGTGAGCATGAAGTTCAAGCGGCCTTGTAAGGTTCGAGGTGGGTCCTCCAACCGCGGCGCCTTGTTTGCAACAATCAATGTCATTGGAGCTCAGAAATCATTCTCTCCTTCCGAGGAGCTCACGGTGTTTCGCCTTCATTCACCAACCTCCGTCGCGCCACCTCCCCCGGAGAAATAGCCGCCTCTCCTGGTCGCGCCACCTCCGTGAGGAGCAACTGAGAGTCGGGCGACCACTCGATCCTGGGAAACACAACGGCCGTTCGCGACAAGGGGCGGACTATGCCTCCAGCAAACGTGCGCAGCGGTCAGTCGAATGTTTGCAAAGGACAGGAGTATGGACCTGAGTCAAAAGATGTCAAAAGTGGTGATGGTCGAGCTTCACCAACAGTAGCTAGCACTCCCATGAAAAACACCGCCAAAAGTCCACTGATTGGAAGAACACCACAACACGGACACGGTTCCGTCTCCCCAAATCTCCCGGGGAAAGCCTCTCCACCTTGTCGATGCAAATGAAGACCTGGGCGATGAAAGTGAGAAACACTTGCTTGGGGTGCATTAGATACCACGAAGCTAGAATTTTCAGAAGTACCGGATACATTTTCAAACAGCCTCTTTCTATATATCTCTCCCCCTCTCTTTCTCTCTTTCTCTCTCTCTCTCTCTCTCTCTCTCTTTTCCTTCTCTCTCTCTCTCTCTCTTCCTTGGCAGAATGTATACTGTATAACAAACACTCATTGCCGGTTGCCAATATTTTTTGCGAGGTAAAAACTTAAATATTGGTTCATCTTTTCGCGCAAGGCATGAAAAACCAGTTCCAGCCCGTCTCCCTGCGCACAGCGTTTCACAAGCAGAGCCCGACATTGCCTTTGTCTTTGTCTTTTACGTTCTTGATCTTTCGTAGCTTAGCAAGCTCTTCATCTCACTGCCGCTAAGTGGTGGTGCAGATGGGAAGTGGTCTAGATCAGTCAGGGCCTTTCAAAGGAAAAAACAAATATCATAACATAAATGAATATAACATAATTGAAAATAAAGTAACATATTGTAAGATTTTCAATATCTCTACAAGTCCTTTAAAATATTTGATAATATTCAGAAGTCTATTCAAAAATGGAATTGTTTAATATCTTTAAACATATGTTTAACTCTGCAAAATCTAGCAAAAACTCTTATGGCATCTCACAACAACAGGGTTAACTTGGAAAGGGTTCGATTGTTTGACAAGTGCGGGACAGCGCTCACCGCATGAAAGCTCGCAAAGAAGCAGGAAGAAAGTTCAACACTGCAAGTTGTTTTCCTCAAATCGAGCAAAAAAGGTTCGTACAAAGCTCCTCCCTCTTGTGAAAGGAGATTGGCGGTTACACGTGCACTCCCGTCTGACCCCTGCAATGCTTAGGATAATCACAAAGAGCAGCAGGTGACAAAAGGGATGGATATGCATGCCTTCGCAAGCATTGTGAACACATGAACTATCAAAGTAGCTAAGCAGAAAATGGAAATCGCCAGGCAAATTGCAAAAGGGTAAATCAAACTCTTTGGTCTGTCTAGATCAATTCGGGTCAAAGTTTCAAAAACTTCAGTGGGTGGTAGGAAATGTTCTAATCTAATTGAAGAATTGCTACTGGAAGTGCCCATTGAATATGTCGCAAGCATGAGAAGCTGCAACCAAAATGCACGCAACACCTGTGCTGACAGGTTGTTCCAACTTAACCGACTTACCCATTCTAAGAACATCACCCCAAAAGCAACTTGGAAAGCAATAGGAATCAACAGCACTAGCGCCAGGATTTCAGGCAGCCGATTCTCGCAACGTCACAAGTCTTTTGAGGATGTCATGCTTGTTGCCACTCTTCTGCACACCGTTTCGCTCTGCAAGGCGCTGTAAATCGTCTTTCTTGACCGAGTGGGCCAAGTCAACCATCCAATCTTCACGAGTGATCTATCTTGCCCTCCACTTTGAGTGTCTTTGTGAGCTCCTCTCGTCGAGCCTTGGCAGACCTTTGTCTTCAACTGCTTTTGGGCTGGAGCTCATGGCCGTCATGGCCTTCAGCTGTCTTGGCTGGGAGGTCTTGCGCTCCTTCTTCTCTTTTCGGTCGTGAGTCTTGCGTTTCTTTTCCGTCTGATCTTTCTTGTTCTTGCGGCAGCTCTTTGCAGACAGCTGCTTTGCTTCAACCCAGGAGCCACTGTCTGACGAGCTGGAGTCACTGCTGGCTTTGTCTTTTCGCTTTTTCTTGCTCTTTCCTTTCCTCTCGCTAAAGTCTGAGCCTGCAGAACCTTTGCTCATCAGCCTTTGAGCAACCCAGGAAAGCGTTTCGAACGGCTTGGACTTGCCAGAACATCCACTGGCTTGGCTGTTTGTGCTGCTACTGGGCGCGGCCACACCAAACAAGCTCATGACAGTTTCTTTTGCTTTTTCTGAACTTCTTCAGCTTGCCGTTCCCCTTCACGTCTCTTCTTTTCTTCGCGCACAAACTCAACAACTCAACTTCTTGGGACACACTAGGCTGTTCTGGCCGTTGAAACCCTGGTCTGTTCCACGGTCGCCATGCTTGTGACCCACTTTGGGGTCGCTCAAAAAATATGTATGTAAAAATTGGTTTAGATCTTTGTTGTGTTGATTTTCTGTGAGTAACTTCTTTAACTGTCTTCTTGAAGACTGTATGCAAAAACCATAGGCAACCAAACCCGGGCTGATAAAATCCACCACTTAGTCTCACAAAACCCTGCGTGTACCTGAAAAAGGCTCTAAACACCCAATGTCCATGGGGATTTCACATCTCCACTGTGCGCCGAACCATCCGATCAAACCTAAGAACAAAAATAACACCTCGGGCTAAGAGCACCACGGGAACTTCCCAAAACGTGTTCCGCCAGCTCATCTCCCAAACCCTTCCAAAACCGCCCATCCATCTGCCCCCCTTACCGCATCGCAGCCGGGCCGCCTGAAGCAGCTTCAAGGAGTCAGGCTCCCGAATCTGCAGGCGATTCCTCGCTGGCACAGCCAGTCTCAGTCTCTCTCTCTCTCTCTCGGGCGCGCTCTTCAAACCTCTGCTGTGTAGGTAAGATTTGCCTACACACTCCAAGGAAGTTGGGGTGCAACAGGTCCGCGTCACGGACAAGTAGTTTTGCGAAAGTCAGCAACAGCAGGTAACAGTGGCACAGCAACAGGAACATTTAGACAGTCGCAGTTGGTATGTACTGCATCAACAGTCGCACAAGAACAGCAACGGAAGTGACAGGAACGTAATGAATAATTGCACAGTACCAGTGCCCTAAATATGCGTCACACAGCTAAAAGCAAGTAGTAAAGCAACATAAGCAAGTAACAGTGACATAGGCAACAGTAGCACGAAATGCTCGTGTCGAAGGCTTACTCTCCGGCCCTTATGCGTAGAAGCCGAGCATCAATTTAATGATTGAATGTTTAGTTAATATAATATTTTTTATACATGTCAGTGAAATCCGGAACCTAGAAAAACACGGGAAGGTACACTACAGTAACATAGAACGCAACCAGCTTGATCTCAGCAACTGCCTTGTTAGTGCAATAAACGTGTTCGCTAGGAGAAACACACTAACCCAAAAGCACAGAGTTCGGGCAGAAACATTGAGACAAGCGTGCCTGTGCAATACAGAATACGGAATACACACATGGCTTCCAGGTTAGTGCTGCAAGAATGTGAGGGGGAGGCATTTCTGGTGGGTTCCATGTTTATCTTGGTTAACATATTCTTCAGTTTTCCTAACATGGAAGGTGGCTATGCGCGTCTGGAGTTACACATCTAAAGACCCTTTTGGGATTGGCGGTTTCCAAGGGCTCTCACGACATTCTCGGATCATGCTCGGAGTGGTCTCGCATCGGAGGCGCACTGCGTAGGACGTTTTAGCTGTTCTTAGTGGCTGGCTTCAACTTGCAAATGCCTGTGTCAATCACGCTCGTCGCGGCTTCATTGCATGGAGTGGGAGTGGCACGTGGCGAAATGAATTCATGCTGCTGTGCCCATGTAGTTGGCTCAGTGTTGCACGGCTCCATGGCAATGCGGAAGGGGAACCATGTGTGTGTGTGTGTGTGAACAAGGCATGTCATCGCTGGTGAGCGGTGTCAATCATGCTCGGTGACGCGGCCAACGGTGATTGCACGGGACGATCTATAGGTTACGTCGCGGCCTCTTTGGAAACTGTGTTCCGCCTTGCCTGGATACTACTTCCACGACAGGCTGAAAACATATCCAGGTCCAACAGGCTGCTTGCTATGTGCAGCTATATATGCTTTCCATCCTGGTGCGAGAACATGGGCATACAAATGTCCAGATTCACGTGCTCCGAAGGAAACATTTCGAGTGTTGGACCACGTGTGGCATGGTAACCCAGCATGGTAACCCAGAAGAGTAAACCTTCCTCCTTTCTCTCAGCCCAGTAGACATGCCATCCTAGGATGGCCCCAGCGGCCCATGCCCTCCCTTTCGCCCCAGTAGGCTGAGTTGCTGTTGGGCGCCCGCGAGGTACTTCCCGTTGGGGGACCATTGTCCCACGCCCTGCCGGAGGGTATCGCTGTAGTCCATGGCCGCCATCGCAGGCGCCCGAATCATCTCCTAAGACTTTGAAAAGAAGAAGGTGTCAGTGCTACTATCAGTGAGGTGCCCTATCCCAATGGACTCATGGAAGTAATTACGGAAGTACTTGCGGCTCCGTGCCTCTAACTGCTCTCTTTTCCCTCAGTCAGCCGGAAGTTAGGCAGAAGGAAAAGCCCTGCAGCAGCCACATGAGCCCACCGGTCACATGTTGCTTTCATGACGTCTATCTTTTCGCTTGTTTTCAGGCATCCAGTCACAAGAAACTGTCCTCTCTGCCTTTGACATTGGAAGACTGCACTTTGGCCTCTGGCAGGCCCACTCTCCTATATACTGAACAAGTTGTCTTTCCATTGAGCTGCTGTTCGAAATGGTCTCAGATTTGCATCCTCTTGTCATGCTTCTATCCTGCGATCAAAATGGGAAAACGTGCACGAACAAGGCCCTGCGAACCTCGCTTTGGCAGCTGTTTCAACTCCACAAGTCTCCACGAGACGAGGCCTTTCGAGACGAGGCCTTGAGTGGTGAAACCAGCACCGGGCAACTTGAGGTTTGAAATGGCCGGTGATGTGTACTGAGTACTGTTGATACTGTTGATGAACCCGCCCCTACGTCTGGAGATGTAAAAGCATTTTGGAGAAGGGGGTGTGTAGCAGTGCTCGTTCTTCGCGTAAACCAGCTACATTAAGGTTGATTTGACCCACTCGCCACATTCTCCCCACCCTGCTCAGAAGGCGGTCAACATCTTCCTGACGCGTTCTCTGCCGAAAATCCCGTCAGAACTGGGTGTGTCTGCTGCGCACCCAATCACTGCAGGTTCAAAAAGAATGCAGAGACATGGGAGAGGCCTGCATTTTGTGTAGCAGGCTGGAGGGCTCCAGCCCACCTTTGAAAGAAGCAAATCCCCATCAATCATCGAGCCAAAGGATTCACAGGAGAAATCACTGAAAATATCACCAGAAAATATATCCTTTTTTCCCGTTGACTTCGAATATTTGAGATTCCTCTCCAAACTGCCTAGGGCCAAGCTGCCGGGCAACATCTGTCTCGCTGCAGCCCCTCCCATGGGCCGAGTGAACCGGGCAGGTGCCGGCCACCGGAGGAAACGACTCTCGGCCCGACCGAGAAAGCTGACCATTCACCTGAACCGCCCTATATAAAGCTGGGCACCAAAAACCGCCAGTTGGGGGAAGATCCGCCGTTTTTTGTTAGATCCTTTTTGTTGCCTATCGATCACTTTTTAGGATGCTTTGGGAGGAGGTCTGAACTTGAGCTCTTCGGGCATCCCTACGTCTGGCTCCATGTGACGAAAGTCCTTCACCGAGGAATCAGCACATCTCAAATGAATGGAGCTTGCAGAGATCCTTGAGGTGGCTCGACCAGCTAAACAGCAAGGCGCAGCTTTCGACAAACACCAGCAACCCAAACAAATTTTCACAATCCCAAAGGCAACTCAAGGAACCACCGAAACCGCTCGCGCCAGGGCTCAGCTGGAAAGTGCAACACACAGATCACTTCCATGAGCCTCTTCGGCATCAAGGATCTCACAGGTGTCTGACACACCTGCCTTTTTTGGCCAAGGAACGTCTTTCTATAATCAGAGTGGCTGCTAAGGTGGCGCTTTCGAAGCCTGCCAGAGGTGGAATGAGCATCTCCGGCAGCCAGGCACAGCCAACCCGGCATTCCTTGTAATGGTCAACTCAGAAGTCGGGCTCCGTCGGTGGCAACGAACCCCATGCACGGGTGAAGTTCACCGAATGTACCAAAGCTCTCTCCGATCATGCCAATCGGCCACGTGGCACGATCAGCATCTTGGAGTCGGGTGATTTGGGGGACTTGCTCGGACGGTCGTCCCTTGTGGAGACGGAGCCGCCGAACGGAGCCGCAACGAGGTGGTCACCAAGTTTTTGGCGGAACCATGGTGTCGGAACCGTGTTCACCCCCGTTTGGGGGGGGCCCGGCGGTAAAAATCAGGCACTTCAAGAGGTGAAGGGCTCACACAGCACCAAAACATCAGAGGCCTCCAGGCTGGTTTTGGTGGTAGCTCAAGGTTCAAAATTGAGGATATGCCTATCAAAAACATGTGACATTCCTTTCTGGCCCCAGAACATCGTTCCATTGCATGGGGGAAGCCCGGTCTCCACGGCTAAGGTAGAGCTACCATGCTTGACATCTCGAAGTGCTGTGGATTGAATTCTTCCATGCCGGCTCCTGGCGCGTTTGCCGCATTTGCATGTCAACCTGGCCCCTTTGAGGCGAAGCAAAGCGGCTGAAAGAGTATGTCCAGAAGACTTGTTGCATGAAATCCGGATCCTGTACATCTATGCACTTCCTGGCTCTAAGCTTTCTGGCCAGGTTCGGCTACCTCTTGGCACAGCCCGAGGCCCGCCATCACACACTGATTGGTCCCCTCACCTCTCCTCTCTCGCGAAGCCCATCCAGACATCCATCTGTGCGGGGTCTGCGTGAACCGGCCTCTGTCACACCTTAGGCGACAAAGGCCCCCAAGTGCCGCTGGAAGGAGGCGAACGAGATCCGCTGGCGGCCCTCGCCACCTGGGAAGGCGTGGAGAGGCGCCGTGGAGGCCCCGTCCCAGGGCCGTCGTGAACAGCCCTAACCTCTAGACCCTAAAGCATAGGAGCCATACCGGATACACTGCTTCTGAGTGGCTGTATGTAAGCCAGCCCTTGCCTGAGTAAGTGGTACAGTATATTCAGCTTTGCCGTTGGCGGTCCTGATTGACAACTCTCTGGGTGTCAGCGCAACTTCGTCTTCGCGACTATCGTTTGATGCTCTCACAGGGTACGGATCCAAGTTGGGGAACCCGTTGCAGGTATGCTGACATGGTTTGCCTTGAGATTTCTCTCCACCTGTCACATCCACCACATTGAAAGTACATGATCCGATGTTCCCCTTTGTTCAGGGCAAAAAACGCCCGGTGGGCCCCGAGGAGACCCATGTCCTACTTTCAATCGACGTAGTTTGCCACTGTGGGCTCCACCTCCCAAACTCTGGGCTGCCCTGACTAATGCCATCAAAGGCTTGTCGGGCTTTTTCTGCAGCCTGCGCCTTCTTCTCAGGCGAGACCTGCAGTATCCGATGCTTACCATCGGGCGCTTGTAGCCGAAGACTTGGTGTAGGCGGTATCAGCACTGGGTTGATTAGGTCAAAGAGACTCTATCTTGGCGAGGTTGCCCAGTCAGGACAGCGCAACAAGGCTGTTCAATCAGCCGTGTTTTGAGCCTGTGTTCTTGGCAGGTGTGTGTGTGTGTGTGCTTTCTTCCAATGCCATTCTGCGGGGAGGTCCCCGCGCTTCATCAGGGAACAGAGTGGGTGTCAATGGCGGCCAGACAATCGAGGGAAATGGCGGAAGCCACTCCACTCAAACCATGGTCGGGATGTCTGGCGGATCTGTCAACCTCTATATACATGCATAACAATGCATACAGCGTCATATATATATATATATACATGATGTAACTCTACTCTCTTTCTCTGCCATCCATCCGCCTCCTCTTCGGGTGTCGAGATGGGCTTGGCCCCCCGTTCCAGCAGCCGTTGCAATTCACCTCAGCACATGTTCGTAGGATCACAGGGGCAATCATCAACGTGTGAGCCGTCCCGGCAGTGGGGAGGTTTGGCTCAAAAGGCTTAAGCACTAGCCCCGGAACCAGGCATGACATATAAATGCCATATATATATATATATATGCCTTATATAATCACTAGACATTGCATACATAATGCATGAACAGTGCGCCCACGTGACTGAGAACGAACCGGCATGAATTGTCTTCACAACTGGCACGCCCAACAAGGCCCAACGAAAAGCAATCTTTGCAGCATTGTTTATAACACTGTTGCGTAACATTCCAACCCCAAACCAACCCAAGGTCCCACCCAAAGTCTTATCTACATGTATTCAATACTTAAGACGCCCATTTTGGGTTCTTACCAAAAGTGAGTACGCAGTAGACTTTCTGGAGTTGTGGTGGGAGGAACTTGCTTCCTCAAACCACTGCCGCCATTGGTGAAATCCAGCTTGAAGCAGGTGGCACTTCGGTAGAAACTCTGACTCATGCCTGGCAATCACCTTGAATGACGATTAATCACTCAATCTCGGGGCGGGGTGGGTCACAACGTGATTTGTACATACATGTATGCACATAACATATAACATTATGTGATTATATATATATATATCAACCACCCAAAATATGATCATCTTTTCCTATCAAAACAAAGGTCTAATGGGCTCTAGGTATATATATATATATATATACATTACATGTGTACATCACTACTGTTCAGAGTACCTCCCAGAATTCACTCTGCGTACTCTCTCCACCTTTTTCGCTCACACTCTCTGCAGCTATGGTCTCTGCACGTCGCCCTGACGTTGTTGCGTTGGAAACTCACAAACTGTGAGCAGTGTTCATAGCTACACATCCATTCCTGGATGAAGCTTAGATACCCATCTATGGAGACTCGTCCACCCAGACGTATCCATAGCGATGTATCTACCCAA